GGGGGGGGGGGGGGCGCTTGGGCTCGCACAGCGAGCTTCCGCGCCTTCGCGCGCCAGCTCACTGTGCTCGCCGGCTGGCTTCGCTCGCTATCGCTATCGAACACTTAACGGGCGACATCGTATCGAATCTATTTACTTCATCAGTATCCAACACTATCGGGAACCCGTTGTCGTGACCCGATCGGTACGAACCTCAACCTTCCACCGGTGTAAGCTTGCCAGCGGGTGAATGACTGACGTTCGGTCCTCAGGACACCCATGTACTATCGTCCAATTTTCCAACGCACACCCACACACACACACACACCTGTGCCGGAGACATGGCCCGGAAGTCCGGTCCCTCGAGGGCAACCCCGTAGTCAGGGTCGTAGATCCCGCACTCCTTGGCGATAGCCTTGGCGGTGTTGATGTTGTCGCCCGTGACCATTCGCACCTGTGGGTCAACGGTAAAGAAGGCTTGTGTCCATGACATGTGTCATGAATTTTTGTGGAAGTCGGATTCCGGACTCGTCGCCGACTGTCATTCGACCCTATTTTGATCCCCCCGTTGTATAAACCGGCGAAGAGCGGTGGGTTTCGATTCTGTCTCTCGGGGGGGGGGGCTTTTTTTTTTTTTAAACCCGCAATTTGCAGCGGAAACGAGTAGTTTCTCGTTTGTGAACGAGACGAACACACACATCTGCTCTCTTAATTACTGTGTGCGTCGTAGTCAACACGTGGGCCAGCTCGCACAAATGAGCAGATAAACTCAACACCGGAACCGCCAACAAATCTTGCCGTCATGCAGCTCTAACACACCAGTAACGAACATACACACAAGAACCCAGGGTTTTGCTGAAATCCCCCGCAGGACCCCGCGCCCCCCCGACACCCAAGACCCACTTCCCTCGTCAATGGTTCAAATAAATGGCAACTGAAGCCATGCAAAGTGAGTAAACCATTTCCCCCACCCTCTATGCTTGGTCACTGGTCTAACAATCAAAAACAGAATGCAAACCAGTAGTGCGCCCCCCCCCCCCCCCCCCCCCCCCCCCCCCCCCCCCCCCCCCCCCCC